GGAGGAAGCGCATGGTACTGCACATTTCAATCTGAGACGCCATCGGTTGGGAAACCAATTCCGAAATTTAAAAGAATGGACAGAAAGTCACGGCATGCCATCATTGAACGATGTTCAAGATTCCAATGACCTTTAATACCTCTTATCACCTGCTGTCCACAACCAATGGCAGAAGCATCCACAATTTCAGAAGAGAAAACATCCCGCTACAATCCTATGCGCTGCTGAAAATTTGTGAAAATTTGAGAACTCATAATCTTCCCAATTGGAAGCTACCAAATTTCAAAACCTAAACCTCCACACTACAATGACAGCAGGGTCTTGCTGACCGAATTGATCTGTTCGACAATCACCTTCGGTTTGGTTCATGCACAGCATGTCCTCTGCAAGCATCACATGATGTGTCATTTTATTTCTACACGGTACACGGCGAACTTGCATTAAACTTCGTTGTAATCATCGAGGGTCGAAAGACTTGAAACATCATTGGGTGAAGGTCCTGATGTCTTTTATGTTTCAAGAAGCTCAACTCATTTTCCCATTTTGTTTTTTTTTCACATTTTCTGCAACGGTCTGACCAGCATCAGCTTCCCACTGATGTCACCCGGTTGACAAACTGGTTTGGCCGCATGGTGCGCTGGTCAATTGCGGACCCCTGTCAAGTGCCAATTCTGAATACCGGCACCATCAGCCCTCCACACACCACACGCAGTGGACCCTACCTCTCAGTTATTACTACCGGATCGGCGGCTGCTCATGTGGATTTTGCAATCTGCCGGAAACCCAGCCAGCCGTAGGAGACAACAAAAATGTTGTTGAGGTGGGTGCAGGGGATGATAGCCTGCACCCTACCATTGCGGCTGCAGCTGAAAGTGCGCCCCCACCACCATCAACCAGCCCCTTCACCTGCATCTTCGACTGCATCATCTTCTATGTCAACTGCCTCCTCTTCTCCGTCCTCCACCTCCTCCACCTCCTCCTCCTCATCCTCGCATTGCTCCCCCTTGTCATCGTCCTCGTCATCAAAACATTCACAGCCAGATTGCCTGCCACAAATGCCTCTGGAGACATTACCCATCTTCACCGCCACCTCCCAGACAGCTGCCTCATTTGTACACGAACAGCATGATCATCGCGTCCCTGGGGAGAGTCAGAGATTTACTCCCATGGCATGCTCACAACCATACTGAGCGACGTCGTCGTTCACAATAGACACAAGCCAGGAATAGTACATACCGAGTCCACTGCCCACAATGTGGCAATCATCTTTACAGTGCTGCAGGCCTGCGTGTGCACCAGACACAAGGTGCAGCCACCTGTGCAGCATTTGCCCGACAAGCAGCCACTCTGAGTACACATGCGGCTGATCAGCTTCCACTTCTTGTATTTGAAACCCCTACTTTTAGTCCACCCCACGCCCTCATTGCTGCCCCGCTCCAAATGACAATGACCCACCTTCTGGTCATTTCATGGAAACCCCGACTGGAGATGATCTGTCTCCGGAACACATGCCAGAGCCAGTGAAGTTAATACAGCAGGAGCCTGGCAGAGACTGTCAAGACCCGGATGAGCCTCCTGCTGCCGTGCAATCTGCAGAATCAAATGATATTATAGTATGCCTCCTGCAGATCCTGAAAATCGCCCTTGCCGACAAGAATTTCCACGCTCTACTCACATCATTGACGGTCATGTGGCCACGATAGACTACGCTATTATACACAGGCGTTTGCCGTCTCTCTTCTTTGGTGGCTCCAAGTATCGCCTCAATGCCAACACCACGGATGTGATGGAAGCACCGAGGCTCGGTCTGGATGAATATATCGCCAAGTTTACAGCAACCCATGAGATCAGCACCCAACAACGAGTCAGTAAATTTTAATGTCCCTTCCAGTTGCGCAGATGGCAGACTGCAATTCTGTCAACAGACTCAACATGCCAATGCAATTTTTTTGGTTCTTCGTACGAGGCACCTACCTCACGAGCTGCCAACACATCTCTTCGGCAGCTACAACAGCATGTTGCCATAGTACCAGTGGTTCAAACCTCGCACAACCGAGGTATGCAATCTGCTGCAAACACTGGTACGCATACAGGTTATCAGAGCATCTTGAAGTCCAACATAAAGCCATACATCAGAGTGTGTGGGCAGCATCCGCGGTGGCCATGCACTTTTTAATCACCACTGGGGCTATCGGCACACTGACATCCCCTGCCTTATCTCTACTTCGCACGCGAAAGTACACAAATCTCCACCAGCTCTTCATCCAATCCTTGGAGTCACTCAGCAAAACAATATTTCCGAAATCTGCACCTCGCTCAGCGACTCGTCATCCTTCAGTCTTAGACCTGCATAGCAGCCCCCCTCATAAACCTCTTGCAAGCACAACCATGCTCTCTCGCTTGCTCATCTATGCTCTCCACGGCATGATTGGGTTTCTTTGCAGTAAGGATAATGAAGTTTATCAAGAAAGTGGCATACAACGCTGGTGGATTGTGCACAGTACTGAGGAGGTCATTTTGGATGCGTGTGTGTCTGTGTCTCTGTTTCGGGGCGCCTGGTAGTGGTGAAGGCGGCATGTACCCCGGTAGTAGTGGCAAGTGGTGCACGTGATGGAAGGTGGAGGGAGCAGGCCGAGATGGGTTGCAAATAGGCCATGCGCTCAAGTCTCCGAGTGAGGGGGTGGGGCAGAGAAAGAGAGAGACAGACAGACAGACAGACGGGGGGAGGGACAGGCGGAGGGACAGACGGATGGACCACCGAACCAAGCGAGCGAGAGAGAGAGAGAGAGAGAGAGAGAGAGAGAGAGAGAGAGAGAGAGAGAGAGAGAGAGAGGGTGGAGTGGCACATTTAGGTTTGAGCAAGGTAGGTTGGGCAGACTTGAACTCACCCGCACCGATTATATGTCCCCATTCAGAGAGGGGGTAGGAGGCTTAAAGACAGGGTGAGACGGCAGAGAGCAGCCATTGACGACGAAGAGTCTGACATTTGCATAATGAATAGTGCCAGCAACTTCAGCAAGTAACGTATGCACCCATTATAAGTCCAATTTCAGAGAGGGAGTAGGACGAGGGCGAGACGGCAGAGAGAGTAACACCTCAGTCCATTATATGTCCAAGTTCAGAGAGGGAGTAGCAGGCTTACATTTAGGGCGGGACGGTAGACAGTGTGTCTGTGTGTGTGTTCAACAAGGCGCAACATTAGCAAAGTTGCAAGTTTGCAATGCTCCCCAAGTTTGCATGTTACACATCACACAGGGCAACTGGGCATTTGCGCTTTCTCTTAAAAACCTAACCAGGTCACCTCATGTTCGAAAACAACGGTTTCCGCGCTGTCCTTTCCTTGAAAAAGGTATCTAAACAATTGTCGAGTTCAGGGACGACAGTATTCGGGTCAGCCCTGTGCCCAACCGGCAACAAGCTACCCAACATGGAACACACGCGACCAACGGGCGATCTAGTATGTTGAAGGGCTGTACAAAGTTGATGGCGCACATCGAAGTCCGATCTTCAGACCTTAAAAAGTGGTGATAAGGCGGAGATCCTGGCCGTCGGCCCAGTAGGGCGGTTGACGGACCGGAGTTTCCAATTCTTCCGCTAACGACTTCTATGATGGTGGTGATGGAGCCCTGGCTCTCCGGGCAGGCCTCCCTCTTGCTTCTCCCATGATAGCTGTAGGCCATAGCCTCCCCAGTTTCTACCATGCTCTTTGCTTTCTAACAGTATCACAGGCCTCCCTCTTGCTTCTCCCACGATAGCTGTAGGCCATAGCCTCCCCAGTTTCTACCACGCTCTTCACTTTCTAACAGTATCACTCCCACATCCACTTGCAGCAGAGTTCCTCCTGCCATAATGGGGAGCTGGTCGAGCACAACCTGACCCCTCTAACTACTTCTCTGAGTTCTCTCCCATCTATCTATGTTGTCACCTCCTCACACTCATCCTGCAAACCTCAGCCTTTGGACAGATATGCATAGCATTTTGGAGAGAATAACTTTGTTTTTTAAATGTTCCCATCATCTGTGGCTATGACGACTGCCATGATAATTTACTGAATACAATTCAAATTATTCAATACATGCATTTTGCTGCCCAGCAATCCTCGCTGTGCAGTTTTCCCAGCCATGCAAGCCAGCACCCTGAACCAAGCCTGCAGTTACGTTTCCAAAAATGGGGAAAAAAAATCCAAAAAAAAAATGGTGTTTTTCACAACCATTCAGAGTTCTGGTACTCACCTTATGGTAACATCAGGCCCGATGAATGTTGGCGGTGTTTTCTTTACAGCCTTTGGCATGCACTTATCTACTTCCTCAAGTTCACAGTTCTTATCCTCATCAGATGCAACGCTTCCGACGACGTGATCGCCCACTCCTACTAGCAGCCCATCAGCACATCCAGTTCCCAGAGCTCTAGAGCCGCTTTTCACCGCAAAATTTTGGCTACTAGTGTCTGTAATCTGACTCTCCTTCCATGTACACCCTCCTCCTTCGCCTGCTTCCTCTGTTACTTCTTCCCTGTCTTGAACGGTTCTCTGAGCTCGGCAACGGCGACCATGAATTGCCCCCACCCCTTCCCCCTCTCCATGTGATTCTCCTCCAGTTCGAGTACAACTACTCACCAGACAATCCAAGCCACCAGGCGACGTGCAAGGTCCATTGATCTTCCTGACCATCTGGGTTCGGATAGCTCCTCTGCTGCCAATTTTCATGCAAATGCCAGCGGAATTCAAGAGCCGACTATCGGTTTCATCAACCTCCTCGTGTGCGTCCCCAGCAGGTGCTCCAGGCTTCCCATCCCATTGCCCACATGCTGTGACTGCGGCCCTTTCATGCGAATCAGTACTTTGGCGTGAGTGTACGCCTTTGCAGCAGTCGACATCATAAGATGCAATCAATGTGGCACCACTGCTGGAAAGTCCCCATTCCACGGTGTCCTCCTTTCCCTGAGCATTCTCACTCAGGCAAGTCTGTGCCGAACTTGCCTGGGCAGTGGCAAGCTCCGAGCTATCCTCCATCCACCTCACTGTCCCTTTGCTTCCATGGTGGCTTCTACAATGAACCACATTTATTGTCCCTACCATCATCTCAGTTCTACCCCTACCCTGGTGATCAACAGCATGCGCATCTGGACCATTTGCAGTCTCTGTTGCACGCACTGTTCCCTCATCATTTCCTCCGCCTGTTTCTCCCCTTCCTCCTCCTCTCCCAACCACTCCTCCTTCCCCTTCTCTCGATCCATTGAACTTTTCGTCGACTTCTTTCCCTTCCAGATCACCACAAACTTGTCGTCCAGCTTCTCCACCTGCTCGATCCTGTTGCCGCTCTATTCGCACATTCTTTAATTTCTGCATCCTCTCCCTCATAATGACTTTCTTCAGGGATGTCATGCACTTCTTTCGAGGAGCTAACCGCTCTTTACCCCTACGACGCACCATTTCTGTAGATTCTGCAGGATTCGGGTTCACTGTCAGAATGCCCTTCCTAACTTCTCTGCTCTTCTCCCGGAACGCTTTCACCAAATTACCACCAGCCCTTGAGCTCGTCCGTGTTTTCTTTCCCCTGTAGAATGCCAACAACCCCAAGCTGGCCTGTGTTGCACCTGTGAGTAAATCCGTTGCTTGCCCAGGGGTAGGATCCGTTTTCAACGTCCCAAACATAACGTCACTTACAGAAAGAGGAGCCGATCTCCTAGCCTTGTGCATTGCCGGTTTGACACTCTGCTTCGACTGCCCTTCATGCACAAAACCTTCCGCACTCTCACCTGCTTTTGCCGATTCGCTCATCTGATCCCAGGTCATGGGCAATGTTCCAACAGACGGACATAACTTCTATTAGATTGTGTAATAGTGAAACACTGAAACAGATAAACGCTGATGAATATGTGATAAGCTTAGGTTTTTGGGTTTATGGATCTAGATTTAGGGTTTAGGGATCTAGGTTAGATTACAATGCAAAAACTTTTTTTTTTTTTTTCTTTTGAAAACCAAAGTAATTCATTGGGTTTAGGGGTTTAGGGTGATGTCAACACAAAGGGTTCCATCATACCCATGACGTACAGATTGCATTCTTAGCTCAGCTGGATAGATCAACAACCTTCTAAGTTCAAAGGTCACAGGTCCCAGAGAGATAGAATGGTTGCTGGGCATATAGCCTCTGAGGATCCTACTCGTTGTAATCCTGTTGACATGATCACATAGGCCTCCACAGTTTTCAAGACAGGAAGTGTGAGATGACAACACAGTGCTCTCTAGTTCTCACCGCAGAACCCTCGCATGGCATGACTACCCAGAATGACAGCCTGGCGAGCCGAAAGTGCCAATGGCACCCTGGCAAGCAGGAAGTAACAATGACACCCTGGCCAACAGAAAGGCGTATTATTCTGAAGAGCGGCCAGGGTAAGTACCAAATTACTACCAATGTACCTGGCGCAATAGCTGTCAATGACAAAGCAATCATGCCCAGTTCCCTCTCCAGGGAGAGACTGTACAAGTCCTGTTCTGATGAAGTCAGCTGCCGATGTAGATGGAATTGCACGAGTTTATCAATTGAGAGTTTCATATCGACATAATTCACAAGGGCACACCACATAATAGGCCGCAATGGATGACAGCTGATCATAGTTAATGAACTTGCAAGATTTCTCAATAGCTTACCACATACTGATTTCGGTCCAAAATTTTGTTGAGAAACGCTGTTGGTTTTTTTTGTCTGAGTTTTCTGCGCTTTTCTAAAGATTTGTGGTTCTGTAAAAGTCTATATCTTGCGTACATCTTTTTTGATGGTACTATAAAGTCGTATAGACGAAAAAAAAGAAGGTATATGTCCTTGTAGGCTTATACGTTTTTTCTGATGTTTTCTTTACCTGTTTTTGATGCACTAACCTTGCTGTGGCCATGTTCTGGTTTGAGTCAGAGTCACCTAGCTCATGTGGCTGAAAAAGCCGCTGAATGGTTTACACGACGTGTGAGTGTTACGAAACCTGTCTCTTATACACATCTAGATGTGTATAAGAGACAGGTCGTGGGTCACGGGGTAGAAGGGAATCAAACTGAAGACCTATAGATTAGGAGTCTAGACAGTTCCGAAGTGGTAGCTGTAGGCTGCTTGAGGAGTCAAGGTCGTAGCTGCTACTTACCTGAAAGGGCAAAGCCGTAGCTGCTACAGTACCGAAGGGCCAACGTAGAGGTTTCTAGAACTGGCCTTTCGGAGTTGGCCTGTGTTCAGCAGAGGCAAGTGGTCAAGTGGTGGTAGTCCACCTAGCCCAGTCAGCAGTCCCAGGTAGCCCAGTCCGGTCCAGTCAAGCAAGTACCGTCTGGGGATGTGCACATCATGGGCCAAGGGGTAGAGGGCAGACCAACGCACCGCAGAAGTATAAATCAAGAGGCTGTGTCCAGCCATTCATTCATTCCTGCGGATGCCATGTGGAAGCGCTGCCTCAGCAGCTTGTGCGAGGAGGTTTGCAGTGTGCCCGAAGACGAAGTGGGCAGAGAAGTGTAGAGTAGCGATAGGGTAGTGGCAGCTAGTGCTGCCATCGCCATAGCCTAGTGCGTGTGTGTTGTGTGTGAACACTGAGTGTTGCGTGTGGGACATCCAGGGTGATCCAGAGTGCGAACAGTGAGTTCTGTGGGCACTCAGTCGCCATAGCCAGTTTGAAGAGAACTCCTACCTGGTTACGATATCTTTGAGTACTGTGTGGGCGCATGTCGCCAGTTTGCTGTTTCGCTG